TCCGGTTGGGAGACAACTGCTCTACCCACCGCACTGTTGCCCCCCCCTTTTACCATTATTTTTTTTACCTGTACCCTTTCTCATTAACCTCACTGTGTAGTGTGTATTTGTTCTATCCTGTGGCTATGGATTTGTTCCAACTACATGACAGATATGGACTCATTATTCAAGGGATCGGCAGTTTGCCGTCCGGACAATGGCCTGTGCCGTTGAGGGTCCCTACACATCACAGGAGGGGAGGGGGCCCTACCCAGAGCCAAACTGATAGAGCATGATTTCTCTGGATCCAGGCAGAAATAATAAAAAGGTGGTGACAATAACAAACATTTAACATTATTAAATTATCTAGGAAAGTCTTCTAGTTCCATCTTAATATTGAAAATCATTAGGATTTTAAAAAAATCATTTTTTTCAAAAGGTTGCATAGTACTACGGTTTATATCAAATATGCCAGTACTGGGTGGCACTGATGTATGGGCAGTTGCTACTTTTTATGTGAAATGGTAACTTTCCATATTTTAACATTAGCTCCATATAATAGAAGAAGCTACAGATGAGTGACAAACAAAGGAAAAACCTGAACAAATAAGTGGAGAAACATAAATGCAGATACTAGCATGGTTTACGTTCATGTGTGGGGTTTTTCCTATTACAGAAACCTAGTGAAACATGTTGAGCCATTATACGCTCCTCATGGGTTCTGAGTTTGTTTCCACTGCCCTTTGGAGGAGTGTTCCAGGAGCTACATTTCGGCACCCCTACTAAACTATAGTTCCAGGAACACAAGGTGGGTGTGCACAGAGCTGTTGCCCATGACTGGTGAAATGTCAGCATCGTCACATCTCAACTATTAGTATTACAAGCACAGTGTGCAAAAGCACGCACTGGTTTACAGGTAAAACAAACAAGAGGAAAAATGGGGACTTCAGTGAGTGGACCGCAGGCAAAGTGGTGAAAACGTCACATTTCTGAACGTTTGTCTTCTGCTTGTTCCACAGCTGTTTGATAAATTGCTCATACAGTCTGCATTACTGGCTGATTTTTGCACTATGAAATGATTCTTCACATGCTTTGCTCTCCCTGTGCTCAGCTATGTGTGAGAGGAGCAAACCCCCTCCCTCCTCTAAACAGAGACTGATACAAAGAAAAATAGCAGAAAAGCAAAGCAGGACGGCCTGCGCCAACCCGTGAGGTTATGCTGGGTGACGGTTCTGGGAAGTATAAGGTGTACTGCTCGTTAGGTTCCCACAGTGGAAACATGGCTTCCCCTTAGAGGAAAGGGTCACTGCAAATCAATACAACGTTGTTCTGGGTTGTTTATGCTATGATAGAACATTTCTCTCGTAATGGAAGTTGTCTCCTCCAAGATTTCTGTGCCCCCAACCATAGGGCACAAGGGGTCACTGACTGGTTTGATGTGTATGAAAATGATTTGAATGATATGCCTTTGCAGTAAAACCAGATCTCAACCCAGCTGAACAGCTATGGGAGATTTTAGACTGACGTTTTAGACAGCGCTCTCTACCACCACCACCAAAACACTGCATGAGAGAATATATACTGTTTTTTTTTCCTCTTTCGTTGTCTTTTGAGCATAAAATAGCACTATATAAATAAAATATTGCTAGCAGTCCATATTGCTTGCACCATTTTATCACTTTCTCATAAAAATGGGTACAATGTTAATTTATTTTTTCCACAAATAAAACAGCAGAAATAGTCATCTAAGGGCCCAGTGAGGAGTTAATCCAGCCATGAGAAAGCAACACTTACAAACTCTCCTGCACAGCACCTCAGCATAGGTGCTACAGCATCTAAGAGCTAAGGACTCAAATGTTTTCACGGTGTAACCACATCAAAAGAGTTGCACATCCTGTTTATCTCTAAACCTACTAGTATCACCTCAGTGCCAAAAAAAAGTATGAATTTACTTCTGTTTGGAAAAACTGAGTAAGTAAATTAAAAACTTAAATATTTTACAGTCCTATTCTAGATTTTATAGATGACAAAGTAAAACCTACTACTCTATCAAAACTAAATAATATAAATACCAATAATGTCTACATGGTCACACATTTAACACCACATTTAGATTCCAATGCAACAAGAATGGTGAGTACAGAGTAAAGAAAATACAAAGGCAGTATTTAATTTCACATGGACATTAGCCAGATTACAACAAAGTATGAGAATTGGTTTCATTTTACAGAAACATCAAGTTTAAGTTGGCTGCCTCATGTTAGATGTACACACAACATAGCATGAATGAAGTCTTTGCTTCCAATAATCGGTTTGAGTATTTTTGGAGGCTTCCCTCATCTGATTTACAGGGTAGACATCAATTACTTGTCTTAATTATCACTAACACTGCACGATATTTACAAAAATGTCCTGGTGACAGCAGGAGGAAGGACAATTAACATTCTTTACACAGTATGGCCTTTTAGTATGGGACAAATTAAACAAACACTACCTTGTTCATGTTCATATTAAACATTTTCCGTTGCATCGTCATTTTAAGCGAGCTGGGAGATTAGTGTGACCATCTCCTCAACAGAATCCAAAAACAAATATTTACAGCATGTAACTGGTCAAACAAAACTAATCTGCATTTAACAATAGTAATACACTATCATACTGACCGTGTAAAGGTTTATGGTGCTATCAGCATTTAGTTCACTGGACAATACGCTGCACTGCATAGGTTTTAGAAAGCAAGAACATATAAAAGTAAGATAAGTGTGAAACCTGGTGCTGTACATACAACTGAAAGCTTGATCCTTGGAAGCAAGTTCCCTGAATGCACTGGAAATTCGTTCTGCTAGGCAAACCAGTAGGAAGTAAACAGGCCACTCCATTCAGAAGACCGCTCAACACTTAAGATTAAATGATCTGCTGCACTGCATACACAGGAAACCAAAGCATTTCCTGTATGCATATGTGTATTAAGAGAGTGAGGCAAATCAACAGTTTGTATCAGCATGGGAGGTCAGTATGTCTGAATGTGATCACAAGCTGCAGGCTGTCAAATACTGCTTTTATACAGTGGGTACGGAAAGTATTCAGACCCCCTTACATTTTTCACTCTTTGTTATATTGCAGCCATATGCTAAAATCATTTAAGTTCATTTTTTCCTCATTAATGTACACACAGCACCCCATATTGACAGAAAAACAAAATTTTTGACATTTTTGCAGATTTATTAAAAAAGAAAAACTGAAATATCACATGGTCATAAGTATTCAGACCCTTTGCTCAGTATTTAGTAGAAGCAGCCTTTTGAGCTAATACAGCCATGAGTCTTTTTGGGAATGATGCAACAAGTTTTTCACACCTGCATTTGGGGATCCTCTGCCATTCCTCCTTGCAGATCCTCTCCAGTTCTGTCAGGTTGGATGGTAAACGTTGGTGGACAGCCATTTTCAGGTCTCTCCAGAGATGCTCAATGGGGTTTAAGTCAGGGCTCTGGCTGGGCCATTCAAGAACAGTCACAGAGTTGTTGTAAAGCCACTCCTTCGTTATTTTAGCTGTGTGCTTAGGGTCATTGTCTTGTTGGAAGGTGAACCTTCGGCCCAATCTGAGGTCCTGAGCACTCTGGAGAAGGTTTTCGTCCAGGATATCCCTGTACTTGGCCGCATTCATCCTTCCCTCGATTGCATTAATGAATTGATTGAATTAAGGCCAAAAAGTTCTATCTTGGTCTCATCAGACCAGAGAATCTTATTTCTCACCATCTTGGAGTCCTTCAGGTGTTTTTT